TTGGGCGAGTTCGTGGGCCGTCTGCACTTTGACTTCGTTCTGCGGCAGAGGCGGACTGCAAGACGAAACGAGGGAGAACGAAAATAGAATGAAAGCGAAGCGCACTGTTTGGGTCGATTCCTGCTGGAGAGTCCCTGGGGCGCTCCTGGGGCCTCCTGCTGAGGGTCTCCTGGCAGTCCCCTAGAGCCTCCTGCGCCTTGCGCCCCGGGGGCCGACCATCGGCGGCGAGCGAGGGGAGTGAAGTGAGGAGGAGGAGGAGGGAAAGGAAAAGGAGGAGGAGAAAAAGGAGGAGAAGGAGGAGAAAAAGGATGATGATGATGATGATGATGATGATGATGATGATGATGATGATGATGATGATGATGATGATGATGATGATGATGATGATGATGATGATGATGATGCTGATGATGATGTTGATGCTGATGCTGATGCTGATGCTGATGCTGATGCTGATGATGATGATGATGATGATGATGATGATGATGATGATGATGATGAGGAGGAGGAGGAGGAGGAGGAGGAGGAGCAGCAGCAGGAGGAGCAGGAGGAGCAGGAGGAGGAGGAGGAGGAGGAGGAGGAGGGAGAAGGAGGGTGCCCTCTCAGAAAGCGGCGAGGCTTCTCAGAAGCCCGCCGGCCTTCCGATCAGTTTTTTCTGCGCCTTCGGGGAAGGCTCTCACCGAGCGCGTTGCACTACGGTCAAAGTCCCTAATGACTCGCAAGCGTCCGAAACAGCACATGTCTGCATCGATATCGTGCATCGCAAGTCCCACATGGCAGATCCAGGCCATCTGCGAGTATTTACTTTACGACAATGTTGCATCGACCCGATGGGTCGACCCTGTGCCTGAACACTCTCTGGCGTCCTCAATGATCACTGGTTGCGCGCCTTTTCCTCTGCCTCGACGCTTTTTCGGTTGCATGTCCCGGCCTGCGCTGGTCAACCATAATTACGGGTTGTTATAAAGACTAAACCACAGATCTGCGAGTTGTTACTTTGCGAGCAGTGGAACCCAGAGATCCGATGTCGCGTCTTGTTTTCACTACGCGGTCCCCAGAAGGCTCCACCCATTCCCCAGGACCGGTTTCTCATCCTGAGTCGTTTTTTTGACGGTCCCAGGGCCCAGCGAGGGCTATTAGAGGTCGAAATCGGCGGAACACTTCCGTCTTGATTTGTTCAAGACGTTGGATCTTTGGGAGCGCGCCTGTCTAGGCTCAGAAAGCTTCTCGCAAGGCCGGGAGGCTGCCGAGCCTTCCGAGAAGGCCTGCCCCCTCCTCTCGAGTAGGGGATCGACTACATAATCGAGTTGCCCCAGAATTGATTTCCCCCCTCGAGTCAACGACGAATACACAGAGTTTGCGCAAATCTACGGAGAATTCTGAGCATTTGTCCAGAGATTTGACGAGAAAACTAATTCTGGGGTGCATCAATTATGTAATCGATCCCCTACTCGATCCGCGCCAGCGGCCCGGGAGGGCACCCGGGCTTGAAGCGGGCATGCCCCTCTACAGGAGGAGTACTCCAGAATTGGAAAAAACAGTAGTCTGCGGACGATGTTTCGACTATTTGATTATGTTTGAATATTTGCTTGCCTATTTTTGTTTATGCTTCTTCCTAATCCGCTTGTAGGAGGACATGCCGACCTGAACCCAGGCCCGAGGGCCCCTCGCACGCGCGATCGTAATACAACAAAAGTGTACACCACACCACCCCGACGTCGTCCCCAACCTTCCAAGAAGTCCTGGGATGGAGCAGCAGCCCGCCACTCGCAACGTACCCAGAAGTCCGATATGCCGTGATTCTCTCCATACGCGGCCCCCAGAAGGCTCGACCCATTCCCCCCAGGACCGGCTCTCCATCCTCAGCCGTTTTTTGACGGTCCCCGCGGGGCCCGGCGAGGGCCTCCGGCGGGGTCGCAATCCGCGAAACGCCTCCGCCTGGTTTTTTTTTCACATGACGGGGGCTCTCTGGGCATCTCACCTTTATTCCCCGCGCACTCCCGCGTCGCATGGCCAGACGCGCATTCCCAGATCCCCCTGACGATCCTCCTTTAAAAAAGGATGCACATCTGGGGATCTCCACGCAGCGCGTAATCCCATGACGTGGGCTCTCTGGGCATCTCACCTCCGCCCGGTTTTTTTTTTTCCGCGGCGTGGGCTCTCCGGGCCCCCGCCCTGAGATTTCCCACGTCGGGGGCGCCGGCACCTCGCGCGCGAACGCGCGCCGCCGGGGGAGGCGCCGCCCGAGGCCGGCCCCTGCAGAGGAGCCCTCTCCGCGGGGCCTCTGGGCGCGGGGCGGGCGCGAGCGGCGCGGCCTCGGCGGCGCGCCCTGCCCGGGGGGGGCCAGGCGAGGATCGAGACGCTTCCAAGGACCTCCAGTGGGCGATGAGCAAGGGCCGTGCTGGAGATACCAGTGGCGATGATCCTAAGCCATTGCACTTGCGCAAGGCAGTACGCGCGTGGTGTAACTGCGCAGCGCGGGGATCGACTGCAGGGGTCTCTATAGGCAGGTCGGGCATGCCGCCTACAGGCGGAGCTGTGCAGAGACACATATGGGGAATTAGAAGGTGAGGTGCCCAGAGAGCCCACGTCATGGGATTGCTCACTGCGTGGAGATCCCCAGATGTGCGTCTTTTTTGAAAGGATGATTGTCAGTGGGATCTGGGAAGGCGCGTCTAGCGTCTAGCCATGCAACGCGGGAATGCGCGGGAAATAAGGTGAGATGCCCAGAGATCCCACGTCATGAAAAAATCAGGCGGAGGCTTTCCGCGGATTTCGACCTCTGGAGGCCCTCGCCGGGCCCCCCGGGGACCGTCAAAAGACGGCTCTGGATGAAAAACAGACACAAGCCATCGTCGACGCCCAGGAAAATAGGGGAAACTATGGGAAGTGGGGGGGGAGACAAACACAGAAGACGTGCGAAAATAGGGGTAGTGCTGTTACTTGTGTGTCTTTTTTTGTGTGTCCCAGGGCTCCTTCAGTCAGGGCGTTGGATCTCTGGGTCTTGCCTTATGATGCTCCAAGCTACTTAAGCCTTGATCGCCAGGAAGAATTTCGAGCGCCCAAACAAGTACCGAAACTCAAGGGTTTTCACGTGTCGGGCCCTGGGAGACACTCGCCCGACACTGTTTCGACACTGTTTCGACACCCTTTTGACACTTTTCCACCACCACTAAGCCGAGCATCCAGAGGGCCGCGTGGGCAGAAGAGCGCGCGATTGGCAACTCTTCGAAAAAAATACGAAAAGTGAGACAGAGGAGGTAGAGGAATTGGAGGACAAAACCGGGATGCCTCAGATGTGCTGCGCAGTCTTGTACACCTCGGGCTCGAAACTGTTTCTGGGATGTGGCCCGTAAGCAGGACGGGGACAACATAACCCTACCCCCCTGTCACACGGGGGGCCTACCACCTCTGCAGTGCTCCTCCTGCAGAGGGGCGTGCCCGGTGGCAGCCCGGGCGCCCTCGCTCGGGCCGCCCCGGCGCCCCGAGCGAGGCGCGGGCTGCCTGCGCTCTGAGCGGGTCCGGCGCCCCATGAGCGGGGCCCTGACTCCAGAGCCGCCCTACTTTGGTTTTTTTTCCAACATAAAATTGCGGAGAGACGCCGCAGATCGCCCAAGTGCTTCCCCTGCGCACGGAGTGCCCCCAGCGGTGGTGGTCTGGGCTGCCGCCCGCCCTGGAAAATCGACAAACACGCAGATGGAGCCCGTGGGGGGCCCGTGCTCCGCCCAGCCCGAAATTTGGGACGTCGGGCTCCCTGACTCCAGATCCGCCCTGCTTTGGTTTTTTTTTTCCAACGTAAAATTGCGTCGGAAACCCACCTATCAGAAGCCGAACAAGTAGGGCGGACATTTCTGCACCCCACATAACATAGGGCGAACATCCACAGAAGTGGGGCGGGAACAACAACAGAAAAGTAGGGCGGAAATCGGCACCAGCGGGGCTCGAAAAGTAAGGCGGAAATTCCAAGCCCTACTTACGAATTTCCCCAAAGTAGGGCGGATCCGGAGTCAGGGGGGCCCCCGAGGGGGAGAGTCGGACGGGGCTGCATGGGGAGGAATGACTGCGTTACAGAGCGTTTGCCCCAGAATTCGTTTTCTCGTCGAATCTATGGGCAAAAACTCAGAACTCTCCGCAGATTTGCGCAAACTCTGCGTATTCGTCCGTATTCGTCGTTGGCTCGAGGGGGAAATCACTTCTGGGGCAACTCGATTATGTAGTCGATCCCCTACTCGAGAGGAGGGGGCAGGCCTTCTCGGAAGGCTCGGCAGCCTCCCGGCCTTGCGAGAAGCTTTCTGAGCCTAGACAGACGCGCTCCCAGAGATCCAACGTCTTGAAAAAGTCAAGACGGAGATGTTTCGCCGATTTCGACCTCTGGAGGCCCTCGCCGGGCCCTGGGACCGTCAAAAAACGACTCAGGATGAAAAACCGGTTCTGGGGATTAGATTTCCAGGGGCCGCGCATTGAAAAAAACACGACATCGGATCTTTGGGAAGAAGCCTTCCGAGAAGCAACCTTCCTCCAAGAAGCCTTCCTCTAGGCCTCCCAGACGGGGTCGGAGCGGATGGGGTCGGAGGATCGCGCCGCATCGCCGATGCCCCGCCGATGTGGCTCGATGTGGAGCCGGGTTTGCTTCACGTCAGCGTCGCCGCTGCATCGCCCGTGTCGACGATGCATCGCTGGTGCATCGCCGAAACATCACCTATGCATCGCAGATGTATCGGCGATGCGGCGCGATCTCCCGACCCCATCTACTCCGACCCCATCTAGAAGACCTCTAGTTCCGGAGCGCTCGCACAGCGATCCGGAGCGCTCTGAGAAGGTCGCGGCGCCCGATACATCCTCGACAGCTGCCAGATCTCAGAGATTCTCGACTTACCCTCACCCGATGTTGTTCTCTTCTTGGTTGCGCCATAGAGAGCGAGGAGCGGTGGTAGGAGGAGGAGGAGCAGGAAGAGGAGGAATAGGAGGAGAAGGAGGAGGAGGAGGAGGGGGAGAACTCT